TCATATCGATCCATGTTCACACACAACTTTCAATAAAGTTCCAATAAAGTTCCAATAAAGTTCCAATAAAGTTACCTCTGTCCTCTCTTTACGCTCTCAGTGCGCTCCGGTCCCGGCTCCTCCCGGGTCTCCCTCCTGGGTCCGGTCCCGGCTCCGGTCCCGGCTCCGGTCCCGGCTCGGGGCGGACTCCCCGAGGATCTGGACTCTGCTCTGGTTCTGGTTTTGGCGTCTGGTTTCTGTCTGTTCTGGTTTCTGTTATCCCGGGTTGTTCTCGATCCGAGCCGCGTGCCGAGCTCCGGGTCCCGGTGGCATCTTAGACCGGATCACTTGTGGTGCGCGTGCAGCTGAGGAAGCACCTTCATCATCTTCATCAGCTCCCGGCGGCGGTCAGAGGGCGGGGCGGGCTCATGTCGACTGTCCCCGGCTCACCCTGATCGATACCGCTGATCAGCTCTGATTAGACTCTATCGATCCACGCTGATCAGGTGTGTGTGCAGCGCGCGCTCCGTCTCCTCCTCCGTCCTCCGAGGGAATAATCATCAGACTGTCAGCACGCGGAAATACAGCGGGGGGAGGAGGAGAGAGGGAGGAGGGAAGAGAGGGAGGAGGGAGGAGGAGGAGAGAGGGAGGAGGGAGAGAGGGAGGAGGGAGGAGGAGGAGAGAGGGAGAGAGAGAGATCTGCTCGTGCAGGCTGACGCGCGCGCATGGTGACAATCAGGAGGTTCTCTCTATAATGAATCTATATTTCATATTCTATTGATCGATATCAATAACTGATCAGAGATCAGTTGAACTGTTTATTAGATAAGTTTTATTGACAGATTCTCCTTTAATGCGGATTCAATATACAGAATAAACAACAACAATAATAACAATAATAGATCAAATGTTGTTAATGATCATATTAATGTAAAATCCATGTTATTGATCTATTGACTCTAGTTTACAGTGATTAAGCCTGAACTCCTCCTTATATGGGCGGATGGAACCAGGCTCCTCCCACTTCCTGCTCCTCGCTACACTCATTCATTTAAACAGTAAACAGATGGCGCCTTAAACTCCAGTTTTATACTGTTAATAAGTTTATAAAATGCTATAAATTAGTGACATTAACAGTAAATAAAGCATTAGTGAGTTAACTGACAGATATGTTGTATAATGATGGAAGTAGAATAAATGTTGTTTATCAGTGTATAAGGTAAACTGTCCAAATACAGTTGTTATCAGTGTAAACAGCAATAATTACTGTAATCTCACAGATAATGACTTTTATTACACTTCTATAACTTTTAACATTCACATTAAAATAATAACAATCCAATAATAACAGCACTCTGCTGTAAATGTAAGTCTGATTATTGTATTATAGCAGAGTTCACCTGGATTTATAGATCATAGTTTACACTGTAAATATCTTTAATTAAACATTAAAGGTTTAATACTAAACAGCAGAGGGAGGTGAATCATCGGAGAACCTTTGAGGAGGTTCCTGAAGGTCCAGAGGAGTTCTGTCTTTAAGGATTCAGTGGGTTTCTGGGTGGAGGAGGTTCCAGTGGTCATACAGGAGGTCCTGGAGGTCCAACAAGATGCTCGGGAATTCCTGAGTCTAATTCTTAAGACTGAGGTCCTGACCTCTAGAGAGAGTTTCAGGGAGTGTTTGGGCGTCTGTGGAGCGTCTGCTGGAGGTTCTCCAGAGGTTACAGAGGTTCTCCAGAAGTTCTCCAGAAGGTTGGGACCTGATTGAAGGAGGAACAGAGAACGTTCCTCACACCGACATGGAACCAGAGAGGGTTTAAATAAACACAATACAACAGAGAGAGATAACACGGTACCACAACACACACACACACACACACACACACACACACACACACACGTAGAGCAGCTGAGTGATTCGATATCTGATAGAGCAGATGAACAAATAAGGGTGGAACTGTGAGAACAGTGTGTGTGTGTGTGTGTGTGTGTGTGTGTGTGTGTGTGTGTGTGTGTGTGTGTGTGTGTGTGTGTGTGTGTTGGACAGTGAATGTAAACACATTTACACATTAGTGTGTAATAGTGGTGATTTAGCGGATCAGGATTTAGCAGGAATGTGTGTGTGTGTGTGTGTGTGTAGCAGACATGTACATGTGAGTGATCATGTTTTGGACCTGTATTTACACGGGGCTTACAGCGGAGGCGTGCGGAGGAATGGCGCCCTGTATCTCCCACAGGGGCTGTTTATTCATGCAGGTCAGAGAGACTGTTCTCACGGCCGTTAACTCCACCGCGTACGGATCCAGGCCTGTTCCTGGTGCCGCCCTCCTCTGAACCGGCTCAGACTCGGCCGGGGTCCTGATAATAATTCAAACATACTGTTGGATGCAGGTGGAGCTTTAAAGCTGCAGCAGGTAACTGATTCACACGTTCATTATAGAGGAACATTATGTGGAGGTCTTACTTTACCTATTACTCACTTACTCAGATTGACGACCATTAAAGTCCAGTTTTATTTGTTCAAAACAAACGAATGATTGATGAATGAATGAATTAATGATGAATGACAAACATGGATCCAAGGATGTGATTGGATGGTTGGATTTCAGATCAACAGGAGGAAGGTTGTGACTAATGATTGTTTGGGAGTTAACTTATAAGTAATTAGTTACAATATTAGTTACTGGGGAAAGTAATCGTAAAGCCCAGCAGAACATCACTGAAAGCACCTTTAATCTTTATCAGATGTTTTATGTGATAAAGTACTTTGTAAAAATAAGTTCTGCTATTACAGTAAAAGGATATTTGTGCTGTTGAGTTTTAAATTCATATTTTACTGAATAAATACATCATAATTAATTTAAAAGAAAACTGTGTCATTTACAGTCTCTAATATAAAAACACGACTTTAAATAAAGGTTTTGATGTCTCAGTCTTTCACTGTTGACAGTCTTTACCTCGGCTTTGTTCTTTGTTCAACTCTCTGGATTTCAAACGCCGTTACACAAAGCTAAAGGCACTCTGTTTGAAGTGTGCTGAGACCTTAAGAAGGCCTGAAGGGAAGAAAGAACGACCATTTGTTAGGAGAATAAAGCAGATAAAAACATGTTAGTGGTCCGATTGTGATGAAAGGAAAACTAAACACACTCAGTGAAAGCGTTCCGTTCTGCCAGGTTCACAAACACACACACACACACACACACACACACACACACACACACACACACAACGGTTACCACGGCAACAGAAAAGCACACACACACACAACACACACACACACACACACACACACACACACACACACACACACACACACACACACACACACACACACACACACACACAGGGCATTCACCCAAATTCTTACCCACGTGTGAACGGCCAAAAACAACACCAGGTGTGTGCAGGTATGAGTCCTCCATCTTTGTTTCACTCCTCTGACCTTTGACCTGAAATAATGTCCTCAAAACTGAATTAATAACTCTCTCTCTGTGTGTTGGATCCTTCTGTCCCCAAACACCAAACTAACCACCAGGCAGCTGCTCGGCATCTTCGCCGGCAGCCACACGTGTCCCGGTTTCAGTCCTCAACCAGGCCGGCATAAATAAAAAGCCTCATAAATAAAACGTCTTGTGTCTTTTGGAGTTTGGAGGCAAAAACGTAACAATCTCAGTAATAAACACTTGATATTCTGTTATTCCTCCAGGACAGACACACTGCTGCATCATCCTGACAATACTGATGTTTGTCTGACTGCTTCATCTGACCTCTTCCACCCAAAAACACACATCTACACAGCCGTCGGCGGTCCGAGGGACAACCCGGTTCTTTGTTCTCTCCAATATCTCAGTAGGACAGTGTGATGGGGGGTTCTAAGGGAGTTTATTAAAGACAAAACTAATGAGCCAAACTAATCTCAGCACAGATCAATCTGATTCATAAAAGTGGTAGGGTGTAGGAAGCAAGATAAGAACCTCTGGAACCTCCTTCACAACCCCTTAAAACCACTCATGGAACCTCAGTGAAAACCTATAGAGCCCCTATAATCTCCTTCAGAACCCTTCAAGAACCTCCTCTTGCCTTTGGAACATCAAAAGAGCCTCTCACATTTCCTCAAGGGCCTCAGAAACTTCCTAATGTATCCTATATAATTCTCAAGTGGTCCCAAAACCCCCTCAGGAACCTTGGGAACATCATCTGGAACCACCCAAAACTCCTGGTCGTCAGCTCAAGGAGTAAAACCTCCTTAAAGACTCCTGGAACATCTTCAAGAACAGCTGCAACCTGGACGCTCGGATAGCTCAGTGGGTAGAGCTGGCGGCCCAGGGTTCGAGTCCGACCTGTGGCCCTTTGCTGCATGTCATCTCCTGTCTCTGACCCCCTTTCTTGTCTATCTTCAGCTGTCACTGTAATAAAGGCAATAAAAAAGCCCAAAAAATATACTTTAAAAAAAAGAACACCTGCAACCTCGTAAGAACCTCTGGAACATCCCCATAAACTTTTGAGGGATCCTAAAGAGCCTCCTGAAGCTAATTCAAGTTGAGTTCTCTTCAAAAAACCCATTGGAACATCTCAAGAACATCCTCTTAATCCTGCACAAGATCTCTTCAAACCCTCTGAACTCCTTAGAACTGCTTGGAGACTCTTGAAGAACATTTTTCACACTTTTAAACACTCATGAAACCTCATCAAGAATTGCTGGAACCTTGGAAAGACCCTTTAAACCTCCTTAAAACCAATTTAGGGACCGGAAGCAGGGATTTTGAACCACCTGCAGAACCAGAATTGATCCACAGCACCACCCAGTGGTCAGAGGTACAAACAGCACCCTGATAGATTGTTCAGAGTAATTGATCAGTAGAAAACTGATCCATTCATGTTCTGTATGTTATTATTTATAATGTTCAAACCGACAATAAATCAAATAATCATATTTTGTTCTTTATTGCTTCGTTTCTCCATCTGCTCAGTTTCCTTTATTTAAATGCTTCCAGTTGTTACATACAAACACTTTTCATTCAGTTTTTCTCTTATTGATCTCTTTCATTCTGCCTTCGTAATTCCAGTTAAATGGTTTTTATTTTATGATTAATAGAGTAAAGCTGAACCTCTTACATTCGCACAAAGAAGATTATTATGTTCCTAAAGTTTCCACCATAAGAAGTTATGTCGTCTTACTATCTGCTACTGTATTTAATAAAAAAAAGAAAAAGATTTGAGACTCCATGAAAAGATCCAGCAGCAGCAGAAAGGAGAAGATGAATTATTTACAGTACAGGACAAACTACATATCCCTTATTGATCATACTGTCAGTAAAAAACAGACTTTAATTTAAACAAGTGGAGTCAAAGTGAAACAGAACCGAAGCTGCTGAGATAATAATAAAATGCATCCAGTTTTATATGTTTTATGGGGATAAACTGAGATTTAATGTGAGGGACTGTACACAATTATTTGTTATTACTGTGTAAATATTCCACATTCATTCAGATTACTTTGAAGAATAATGTGTTAAAAGACAGACAGAGCCAAATCAGAAACAGCTCAATTCAAAGTAAAGCCAATAGAAGCAGAATGCTGATTAAATATCAGAATATTTCAAATGATAGCAATCAATGATTTGATATCATTAGAATTCATCCTTCCTAAGCCCCGCCCCTCTTTGCTCTGTGCTCCAATAGCAGTTGAGCACGCCTCGGTTAGCTTTCTCCTTTCCCGCATCTTAAGTAAGCTAACATTAGCAAAACCATTGCTAACTAGCTAACGTTTGACGTAAATTAGCTAGCTAGCTAACAATAGCTGTCAGATGTAACTAGACTAGCTAGCTAACGACTGAAGATTAGCCAGCTAATGTTTTGCTCTGTTGAAAAATGTTTTTTATCTTTTAACCATCTTCAAAATGTGGTTGTCTTTTCAACATAGATAAGCCTAGCATGTAGCACATCTAAGTACAGGAAAGGTGGAAGTTGACTGAGGCTTACCAAAAAGGGGCGGGGCTTCAGAAGGGTCATTGTTTAGTTTTGTAAAAGTTTTTTTATCTTTATCTGTAAGAACAAAGTCAGAGTTAAACATTATTATTATTATTATTATTATTATTATTATTTATTGTAGCATTCACTCTGTGATCTCAAGAAAACAATTTTTTTATGTCAAGATCTCGAATCAGTTTCAGATTTAAACTAATGTCATCTTTGGTTAAAAGTTGAGTTTGCTACATTAAACCAGAGAGACGACAAAATAACGCGTATAATAATAAAATGTTCAGTATCTAGGCAAGTAGTAAAAAAAGACAAAGCTAAATCAAGCAAAAGATACAAAAGCAATATAATAAATTTAAGTACATTAACTGGAGATTAACATTGTTTTCTTTGAGATTCAAAGAATAATTCAGTCCTTTTTCAGGCTTCTGTAGTTTAGACTCATCAGTGTAGTGACTAAAGACATTTCCTTTATCAGAGTGTGCTTCAGTACATTCAATTAAATGCCCCAGACTGCAAGGAGGTCCGATACAGCGCAGTCTAATCCAGTTGAGTCCGATCCAGTTCAGTTTGCTGAGGCAGTCCAGATTTAAACCTGATGAGGATCTGTAGGAGACCAAGACATCGTCACATTCAGGTAGGATTTTATTGGTCTTTGGATTTGAGGACAGGGTTTACAATCAGAGCGACCCTCTGTCAACTTCCTGTTGAATCCAGGGTTTTAACCTTTGACCCGTCCATCAAGAAACGACTAATCTCTGCCTCAACTCTCCTTCGGCTCCTGGAGACACGAGAAAAACCTCGTCGTCTTCCTCCTCTTCCTCCTTTTCCTCCTCGCTCTCTACTTCAAAGATGGCGGTCATGGGGGCGGCGTAGAGGCGGCAGCGAGCGGCAAAGCGCCGGCTGGAAGAGCAGGGTGGAGTGAGGGAGCGAGGACGCGGGGAGGAGAGGAAGAAGAAGGGGGAAGAGGAGGAGGAGGAGGAGGTGAGGAGGAGGTGGTTGTGCATCAGATCCCGTCGCCTCCATCTGAGCATCATGGAGAATTTCTGAGGACACGGAGAGGTGGGCGACACCGGGACGTCCTGAGTCAGGTGGGCGTTAATGTCACATGTGTCCGAGGCGTGGGTTGTGGGTGCAGTGTGCAGTGGCAGCGCACTCTGGAGGTCGGTAGCAGCCGCAGGAGAAGAAACTACGCGAAGCCGCTCGACAGCAGAGATTCGAGAGGACGAATCGGAGCGACTACCCTTCTTCAGCAAGAGAGCCTTAAAGCTTTCGCTCCTCGACAATCTTTGACTTTTGAAGGTTGTGGGTCGTGTCAGGCCGGACGGGGGATCAGTGGGGGTGACCGGAGGCGAGGAGGAAGAGGAGGAGGAAGAGGAACGATGTCTGTCGTCCTCGGAGCCCCTTCTTCCTAACATCTTCCTCTTAGACCTGAGACAAACACAGAAAGACCAGTCACACACTTGAAGGTTTGTCAAACTGCTCCTTAGCGTCAGCCATCGAACCAGATGCTGCAACAGGGCTGCAGCTATCAGTTACTGCAGGAATCTAGTGTTTTACAGATTACACGCGTAATCCGATTATACTTTCGTGTTTTCTGTTGAATTTCGATCTGCACCTTTTACCTGCCTCGACTTTCCCTTTAAAGAAGGTGGATGTCTAGCAGGTTTCTTGTGTGAAGTGAGTCTTTCCGGGTGTCTGAGCTTTTTTGCTCGGTAGATCATGGATAGCATTAGCATGTTTAGTATTAGCTGACTAGCTAGTTAGCAGCTACGAGTTAGGTTAAAGACAACGAACAATAATAATAATAGTTATATGATTTAAATGAAGCTTTGGTCGTATTGGGATTATTTTGACAGTGTGATTGCAATATAATTCAGCATCACAATTTTCACTGAAAATACTGTTAAATCATTATAATGTAACATCTGTTGGAGTTTGTTCCAAACAAACATATTTTCTTACGTCTTGAGAACAAGATTTGTAGTCCAGGGAATCTCTGCAGCACTTCAAAACTACATTTGCTGTCTTGTCACACATTTTACCATAGCTGTGATTTTATTAATGCAGCCCTATTTAGGGCAGAAGGAAGGCCTATGTTGGAAAGCAAAGAGGTAGGAATCTTTCAATAAAAGGAAACAAAACTAGAAGCACCCTTGTTAGGGAAGACAGAGCAAGGAAGAAGTGTACTATTTGGGGAAATATAGAAAACAGACGACCAATACGGAAACAAGGGGACAACAAATAAAATTTCCTGTTTGGGGAAAAGGACGGAGCAAGGGGACAGGGTAACTGGTGATCTAATTAAACCTACCAAGGGTCAAGAACTAAACTCCATCTACGACACATCCAGTGACCAATCACAGGTTTACCTGCTGCCAAACCCTGCCTACGAGGGCATTCACGCCGTGCCTTCCCACACTGCACTGCTCCACCGAGGCAGAGGGATGAATCAAGCAGACAGATTAGAGCGTGATCGACTGGTTGTTACGGTAACAGTGTTTATGTTTGTGTTTGTGTGTTCCTACCTGTGGATAACAGCGAACAGATCCTCTGTGGTTCGCGGTCGACCGGAGATAAACATCTGATCTGCCGAAACACTGACGAACACATCAGCTGGACAGAGAAACAAAGAGAATTTTTAAACTGAGTATTTTTAATTTTAGTCACACATGAATCAGAATAAAAGGGTCCCTGTACTCAGCAGCTTGTGTTGCAACACAGTCTGTAATCTGCAGCTTTTACTAGCTTTATAAAAACAAAATACTTATTCATGTGTACAAATAGGCAGAAAATGGAGCTTGCTTATGCTTGTTGGGCTCTGTAAAAAACGGATTTTAGAGGCAGCTTTCTCACTGAATTACACCACATATTGAACCTTGAATAACAGCTGCAAACTAGACCTATTTTGCCCCCCCAAAACTACACTACGTGAACCTACATTGATTGGAATGGATGTACACAGCTGGTCAGAAATCAAACATCTCGGTTCTCTGTTCAGGGAAGTACCAGGTCAATCCAAGTCCACAAGTCTACATGTCTGACTCGAGGTACTGATACAGCTCCAAATGGAACTGGTTCTCAGCCTGAACTGAAGTCTGCAACCCCAAATTCTAGTCAAGTCTAGCCACCATATACGCCAGAGGTGGTTCCTTCTCCGACTAAGAGATCAAACTGTCTTATATCCAGGGTTGTCTCTTACTATCGCAGTGAACAACAACGGATTAGGAGAGATTAGTTGCGTTGTGTTTTAGCCTTAAGAGCATCTTCAGTAAACCTAACTTACCATCTGGAGGTCCTCTGGCCTCTTTCACCTCCTGCCTTCTCCTGTCTGCTGCCTCCCTGGCCACCACGCTCCTCTCTTCCTCTTCTTCCTGTATCAGGAGGTCTGGGAGAGACAGCTCCCCGCGCAGGCTGTCGGTGGACAGCGCACTGCTCAGGGAGTACTTGCTCTGACCAATCAGAGTGCAGGAGCTTTCAGAGTCACTTGTGTCTTGATCACATACTTTCATCATCCTCGTTTGCATCGTTCTCTCTTTCATCAAATCTCGTTCGTCTCCAGATGAGGATGAAGATGATGAAGACGAAGATGATGATGAAGAGGGAGAGGGCTCCATTGTTGTTGACATCATTAGCAGTTGTCTGCCTGGCCTCCTCTTCCTCCTCTTTCTTGTTTTGTCTTTCTTCCTAGTGGTGGATGGCATTATCATTGTCATCTTCATCCCTCTCTCCTCTACCCTCTCCTTTTCGTCCTCTTCATCTCCAGCCAGCGATGACCTCATCATCCTCTTAAGAAATGTTTCCCTGTCATCCTTATAAAGTCTTGTCTGGATGATCCCAGCACTAGTTGGGTCCGTTGTTCCATGTTTACCGCTGCCTGTCTGGGTGGAAGTAGCGGCATGGGCCCCTGAGTTCCCTAAGGTCTCTGAGGTTCCAATTGTTGCTGAGGTACCATAGTGTAGAGTCCCTTTGATACTTCGGGACTCTGAGATACCCATGATTCCTGAGGGACCAGAGTTTCCATAGATGCCCATGGTCCCTAAGGTGCTACAGGTCTCTGCGGTTCCCAATGTTCCTGAGGTACCACAGTTCTCCAAAGTACTCATGGTCCCATCGATAGTGCTGGGAGAACCTATGATACTCCAGGTCTCTGAGATACCCATGATGCCTGAGGTACCACAGTTCCCATAGATGCCCATGGTCCCTAAGGTGCTACTGGTCTCCATGGCGTCCCAAGTTCCTGAAGTACCACAGTTCACATAGGTACCCACAGTCCCATTTAAAGTGTTTTCAGCTGTTGTGGTATCCACGAATGCAGAGGTGCCCAAGGTCCCTAAGGTGCTACGGGTCCCTGTGGTGCTCTGAGTCAGGGTTCCACAGGTCCCAGAGGTACCTTTGGATGCCTCCCCTGTATTTCTAGACACAAATAGTGGTTTAGTTGTTTTAGGTGAGGCCAATGAGCGATCTGGCTTCTTGTGCAGAATCGGTGGCTTCTGCCTGTGAGGGGAACCAGCAGGTGAGTGCGCGATGATGTCGGCAGTCGACTTGTCAACAGTGGTGCATTTCAAGTGCTTTGGCGACTGGATACTGTGGGTCAGGTGTGTGTGTGAAGGTGAGGAAGAGGAATCAACGGGAAGCTGTGATTGGTTGTTGAACCCAGGAGAACTTGCTGGGATTTGTCCGTTGCTCTTCCATCCAACTGGTCCTTGTCTGGCCTCAGGGGACGCCGTGAGACCCAGAATGCAAAGATCCGGCTTCTTTGGAAGGACGGGCTTCTCTGGGGAGCGAAGCTTTGTGGGGCTACCCGAGTTACAGACCCTGTCACTCTGTTTAAAATCACTATATGCGGTAAAATCTACATCTGCTGCACTGTGATTCAACATTTCTGAATTATTCTTGTCAACTGTTTCTATTTCTGTTCTGCTTTCTCTATGAGATTCTTGTTTTGTTCCAGAAAGGGTCAAGTATGAAGAATCTGTGTGCCAAGCATCCTCAGGGTTTTTCAGCTTCTTGGCTGGCTCAGTTAGCTTAGCATCTGCTAACATTTTATCTGTGACTTCTTGTTGCTGCGAAAAAGGATACTGGATACTTGTGTTGATGTCAGTATCATGAGACATTCGGACCCTGGGACTATCAGGACTGGAGGCTGGATTGTTTTCCAGTGTAACGTACATGTCTGAATCTTCCTTGTCTCGCTCATTGTATCTGATGTCTTGAGGAGTTTCACCATTGGTCAGCTTAGACCCAGAGTGTCTCTGGTTAGCTGGGCTAGCAACAATGCCTCGTAGGCTCTGAAGAATAGCATACGCTGAGTCAGCGCTGGGTGTCCTCGCATCACTTTCTGTTGCTATTTCTGGTCCAGGTTGCTTTGCATCACCACTGGCTGTGGTATGAAGGCTAGGATTAGCCATTAAAGCACTAGTTATGTTAGCTTCATTGCTACCTAGATCACAGACATTTCCGACTAGCTTAACCCCACTTTTGGCCCAGTCATCAAGATTAGCATTAGCCAGCACAGCACTGTCTGCATGAGCCTCTTTTCCTGGTAGTTCATTGATAGTATTAGCATGGTTAGCGTTAGCTTGGCTATGGAGTGTATTATCCCCTGATGTAACACTGGCTAGCATTATGCTAGTGACCAGGACTTCCTGGTTCTTGACGGAGCGAAGCTTGACGCCTTGCAAAGCTTGAGCAGTGACCAGTGGGCGAGGGGGCGTGGCCACTTTAAAACGGCGGTTTGGAGAATTTCCAAGGTCTGGTGGGGGGAGGGTTGTGGGGAGAGGAGGAAGAGGAGGAGGTGGTGGAGGAGGAGGAAGGTCAGCAATTGGCAGTTCTGAGAGTTCTGAAGGTGGAGGAAGAGGAGAAGATGGAGGAGGAGGTGGGGAAGTTGGAGGAGGAGGGAAGTTGATTGATGATAACATGGTGGATACCAGAGCATGATGGGAGGTTTGTCGGACAGCATAGGAATAGGGGGGAGGAGGAGGTCGAGGACAAGGAGGAAGAGGAGGAGGAGTGGGGAGGGATGAAGGTGGGAGAGGAGGAGGATTTGGAGGAGGTGGGGGGAGGGGGAGGAGGAAGAGATGAAGGTGGAGGAGGAGGAGCCGCAGAGAGTTTGATGAAAGAAGGAAGAGGGCATGGGTGAGAAAAGGGAGGAGTCAGAGGAGGAGATTGGTGAACGGGGGAGTAAAACACAGGAGTCAAAGGAGAGGAACATTCTGGTAGAGGAGGTGGAGGAGGGAGAAAGGGATGCTTGGCAGAGGAGTCTGAGGAGGTGCAGGAGGAGAGCGAGGAGGTGGAGGAAAATGAAGAAGAGACGGAGGAGAAGAGTGACGACTTTCTCTCTGGCACTGGTGGTTTAGGCCTCCCTTCACCTCGAGACCTCGTTCTGGGCAGGGAGGAGACGGCAGGGGACAGGGGGAAGGAAGGCGAGTGTAAAGAGGAGGTAGGGGAGGTCGGGGGGAGGAAGAAAGCTCCAGGGCTCGCTGTGAGAGGGGAGGAGGGGGTAAGGGGGGAGGACACGGGAGTACCAGGAGTTGGGGTGTTAGACTGGCTGGAGTAGCCGCTGGAGGGTGAAGCGAGGCGCTGCAGGCCCGCAACGGACGAGGCAGCTGGTTGGGGGTTGAGTGTAAATCTCAGCGCCTCCTCTTCTGAGCCTGGAGACCCAGGAGTGAAGACATGAGCAGGGGAGTGGCCAGGGCTTGATGGCAGGTGCTCAGAAGGAGGAGAGTCAACGGAGGTTGGTGCCTGGCCGTCCGGACCCAAAGGTTCAAAGGTTGTGACTGTCCCGCAGTTGAGCTCACTCTGGTGTCTGTTGGTATTGCTCCTGGGCACCCAGGGGTCATCGAAGGTCTGAGGAGACGATGTGGGAGTCCGCTTGGAAGCGTGCTCCGGGCGAGGGCTGGAGGAGGAGCGGGGGCTGGAGGAGGAGCGAGGGGGTTTGCTGCGACCCGGACGGCGCCTCAGAGAGTCAGAGCGCAACGGTGGAGGAGGCGGGCGCTTGGACTTGCGGAGGGAGATGCTGCGGGAGTAGGAGGAGGAGGTGCTGTGCTTCCTTCTCTCCCGGTTTAGGAAGCGAGAGGAGGTCATCTCTGAACACAAAGAGTTGCTGTCGGCGTGAGAGGGAGTAGAGCGACCGGAGGAGAGCAGGGGGTCACAGTTCCAACCTTCCCCAGAAACACATCTCATCTCCTGGGTGAGGCTGCTCCAGTCGCCCACAGTCTGGCTGCTGTGGACACTGGAGCTGGGGGAGAGGGACTGGTAGCTCCACGTCTCCCCACTGTAGGAGCCACCGCTGTAGGAGCACTGCTGGGCGGCAGTCTGGTCATCCAGAGCTTGGTAGCTAAACTGAGACTCTGAGTCTGCGATGGAGGAAGAGGAGAGGTAGTGGGAGGAGGAAGAAGAATTGTGATAGTGGGCAGCCTTATTCAGGGGCTTATCGCTGGGGTAAGAGCACTCTGACTGTAAGGTAAGGCTGGGGGTGCCTGGGTGGGAGGAGGAGATGGGGTAGGAAGGAATAGAAGAGGAGGAGGAGGAAGGAGACTGGGGGATGACTCTGGCGGTGGGGTCAAAGGGCAGCAGGGGCTGGACGTCGCTGGGGAAACCCTGCGTATCCTGTGACCGGAAGAAAAAACATAAAGTTTATATTTTGTTTTAGTGACTGAGCTACCTGCAACATTGATTTCTCCTAAACTGACCTGGCAACAAGACGAGGAGGCACTGAGTGTCCCATAGGAGGCGCTGTTGCAGCTGACCTCGGAGTTCAGAGAGGAGTTGGTTGCCAGACGGGGGAGGCTGTGGACCTCCGAGGAGGAGCGTTCGTGACAGGGGCTGACCGGCGGGCAGGAGGTAAGGGAGGCCATGAGGCTGGACATCCCCTCTCCTCTCGGGGCTCGGATCCTCCTCGAGGATGATGGCGCTTCCTCTTTGACTTCTCCCTTCTCCTGCTCTTCAACCTCTTCCTCAGTGTTCTTCCGGTGGTGGGCAGAGGAGGAGGCGGGTCGACCGACAGTGGAGAACTGACCGGGAAGAACCAAAGAGACCAACGGCAAGTCTGCAGAGACAGGAGTTAAGAACAGAGGAGATACAGGAGGAGAAGTACTTATGATAGAGGAGGTGCTAATCAATGGATGGCGCTCATACTCAGTTTCTGGCTGACGTCATCAGGGATCCCAGTAACCGTCTTGCGGCGGCTCAGGTTACGGGGGCGCCGGGATAACGAGTCAGTGTTGGAAACGACTCTTCGAAAACTGGCCTGACGGTCAAAACTCTCTCCTGAAGATTAAAAACACAGAATAAAGCCGTTCCACCTTAAAAATCCCACAATGGAGGACAGACAAAGGACATCTTGGACCAAACTCCATTCAGAAAACAAGCATTTTAAAAGTTGTTTGCTTGACGTCTTGTTGACAGACCCGATAATGAATGATTTCAGACTTTTTACAAACTGCAATCATGATGTCGTTATTTTGGCATACTTTTGATTTGTTTATTGCAATTAATTAATTAATTAATTAATTAATTAACTAGTCGTGTCCCCTACCTGTGATATTAATAGGGACTATATCAGCTCCAATGGCCTCAGCCTGCTGCCTCATCCTCTCCTCCGGGGTTGGAAGCCGGGGGGTCAGCTCCATCTCCACGTCCACTGTTGGTTCGTAGGCCGGGGCGAAGGCATCCCAGCAGGAGGTAGGGGGGACGGGGTTGAGGACCAGAGGGGTCAGAGGTCGCGTGTTGTTTAAGATGAACCTCTCATCTTCATCTGAGAAAGCTGAGGACTGAGTGCAAACACACATTTGTTTAACTAGAAGAGTTTAACTAGGAAATAAATAAATGAAACCTAGTAGAGGTTTAACTACAGCAGAGTGGGTGTGGTTGGGGGTGTCTGCGCTGGCACTCTAGTTCAGTCTAATTCATTCTGGTCTAGTCTACTTCAGTCTAGTTGGATCCAGGTTTACCTTCCTCCTCCAAACTGAAAACTTGAAACAAACTGAAAAACAAGACTGAGAGACAAAGTCCCGGAACCTGGACCTCTGAGAGGAGGGAGGA